TTTTTTTTGGATATTTATCTAGTGTGTCTCACTTCAATGAGGCACGCCTAGTCACAGCAGCACGCCTAGTCACGCCTAGTTTTTTTTTTTTGGATATTTACCTTAGTGTTGAATTTTTTTTTTTTTAATTTTTTTTTTAAATACATTGAGGTGGAGGCTCAAAGGCCCCAAACATTGGTTTTATTACATATACACTCCTTATGGTAATGCTCATTAGGCTTAAGTGTGGATGATGCATTGGTCCTGCTCCTTTATATCACTTGTTAGGAATAAAGGCTTCCAGTATTCAAGCTCAGAATTTGTCTTTGTTGCTGTAATAACGTTTCACTGTATGAGATATCCAAGTCAACAAGAAGTTATTAGAATGATGGTTGAAGAAACTTATCTATTGTTATTTTTCCCCAAATAATTTTTTACTTAAATGCACTGAATGAAGTGTTGTGTGATTTGTGGCTACAAATATTGTTCAATTGTGGTAGCTAGATCTTGTTAGGGTTCAAACATTAAGCTTTCTTTTTTACTGTACTTATATTATATCATCAAATATCATTAGTGATGCTGAATGTGAATGTATTTTGACTTTTTCTTGCTTTTTCAGTATGGTGATGAAGGAAAACTCAGCAACGCATTTGCTGCTGAGATGGAAAAGCTACCTAGTGTGAGGTGAATTTTGAAGCTGCATATAGGTTTTATTGATTTCAAATTTACTGTCTTAAGGTTTTATTGATGAGGTGGCCTTGATTTTTGTAGTGCACAATTGAATGGTATGGAAAATTGAATATAATTGAGCATAAAGTTAGTTACCAACCACTTAAGAGTCTTGTGATGGCTTAGCTTTGTCATATTACAACAAGTGGAATTTTACCCGTGAGTCCAATGTAGTTGATGCAGGTTTTAGTTTAAGTTCTGTACGTTATCATCTGCAAAGTTCAATTTCCAAGTCTAGGTAGTTTCTATAAGTTCTTGAGATTTAGGTGATTTTGTAAAATTGCTAGTGAATGCATCTAATCCTCCCTCTTGCCCTAAGGGAAACAGAGATGAAAGAAGCACCTTTTTCTGATTATCAGTTTTCTAAATGTTATGAAATTTTCCGACATATTCTGACTTTAGACCATGTCTCTAACTAATTATTGTACATGGTTGGATTTACAGATACATTCCCTTTCGCTTCCACACCATTTGCGGCAAATCAAATTTTGATAACCTGCACTTGCTGTATGATGAAATTTCTGACGAAATTGGAAAGCAAGGGTAATTAAGTTTCAAATGACTTATGTAATCTTTTTGGATCATCTCCCCACAACCTCCCCCCCCCCCCACCCCCCCCAAAAAAAAAAGGTGAATAGACTTTTTGCATTGTTATTTTAATCATGTTTTTCCCCCTCACCAGATACTTCCTGGTAGACTCAGAAGGGCATGTGCTGGAAGAACAAAGGGGAGTTATCAGATCTAACTGCATAGATTGCCTCGATCGAACAAATGTTACCCAGGTTTGGATTACTTGTATTAATGTATCTGCCGTAAATGTGTGCTAATTGTCACTCGTAACTTAATCGGATTCTTTCTGACATGTATACCTCATGTTATTTCTATATGTAGAGTTACCTAGCTCGGAAATCATTGGATTTACAGTTGCAGAGGGTTGGCATATTTACTCTTGAAGATACCATTTCAATCTGTCATGAAGAATATGACAAGTTTAAAATCTGTGAGTTATTTATGTATGATATTTAGTTTACTTAATTATGGAATTGTATTGAGTGCCAATCTTTTTCAATATGTATTACTTATGCTGGTGATACTGATAGTGTGGGTTGAGCAAGGGGATGAGTTAAGCTTAGAATATACTGGTACCCATGCTCTCAAGAGAGACCTTGTAAGGTATAGAAAATTTGAAATCATCTTCTGAATCTGTATGAAATTGATCTGTTATCTGTAGATGCTTACCTTGTAACAACTAAGATGCATGGTTCTGCAGATACGGAAAGCAGACTTTTGGAGGACTTATTACAGATGGTATGAGTGCACTTTCAAGATATTATTTGAATAATTTTCAAGATGGTGTTAGACAGGCAAGCAACCATGGCGTTTTACATGATTTTAATTTTCTTATATATGGTCAATATGGATAAAGGGAGGATATTTATCTCAGTTTGGATTTGTGTTTTCTCCAGGATGCAATCGATCTTATCAGTGGCCGCTACTCAGTTGGCCGGAATAATCCATCACCCTTTCAACTTAATGCTTTCGAATCACTTTCAGTGAGTTAAATACTGTATATAAGTTTGCTTTTGCGAATATAGATGACTTCTTTCAAGTTATCTTAACAATGTATCATGATTCAAGTAGTTTATGACTGCGGTATCAGATGATATGCTGGAAACCAAACTTTCTTTAAGAAATTCACGCTTGCATGTAGTATAGTGATAAGAGCCATTTGACTCCATTTGTTTCTACAAAGAAAGTCTATGCTTGCCTCCCCCTTCTTATCTTCACAGATTTTCATAGCCAAGATTCATCTGCATTTATGCAGGTTATTTAACCTTATCTACCAATTCTTATAATCTAGAGCTTCTCAAGTTTTCTGACATTTGCTTAAGTTATATATATGATGCATTATGTACAGCAGACGTCTCTTTAATAATTCATGTCATTATATGTTGCTACAGTATCTTCCAGTGGCTTCAGCATTGTTGATTGGGGGCTTGACAATGACGTCATTTTCACTAAACCAAGGTATGACAATGCACTCTTGTTTCTTCCATAAAGTTATGCATGCACTCAGTTGAAATCAGATGAGCTTTGTTCAGCCTGTTTGCCTCAATTAAAGCTCTAATTTTTATTTATTTTTATTTTTGCCTTTTGATTAATTTCTTCGCTAACTCAGGAGTCAGGGAATTGACAATGTTCTACATGACCTTTCAGAATGATGGAGCTTGAAGAGACCTTTCAGAGCTTTCACTCAAATTTTAGAGCGTAGGGCGAAAAGTGCTAGTATATAGTCAATTGTTGTAATAACTCTACAGTTTTCAGTGTTTATCCTGGAATTGATATAATTATGTGACAGTTCTTTGGAGCTGTCTGTCTGAATAACCTTTGATTAAATTTTTCAAATTTTAAGTTATACGAAGTAATTAGTTTGTAGACCCGGGTGATGAATATATTGTTAGTAATATTTTACATTAAGAAAATGACATTAATGTTTGAATGGTTTAGTAGTTAAATCTTTAAGTATAAACTGGAGGTCAAAAGTGGAAATGGATACACAAAAATCCAAATTAAAAATCACAAAACGTAGAGAAAATATATTTTTTTAAAAAATAAAAAGCATGCAAAAAATAAAGTCTTGTTCAAGCGATCGGGCACACACTGGTTGTTAATGAAAAGACATAAGATAATCTCAAAAACGATTAAAAGACAATAAACCTCATACTTTTGTGATGCATCAAAAATCCCAAAAATTTAAGGGAATAAGTTACATAGTACAAATGTACAATATTGAAAACCATTAGATAATTAAGAGAAGCATCTCAATTATTATATATATGTATAATGTATGAGTATATATATTGTACAAATATTGCACGTATATTATATTAAACATGTTTAATACTTATAATTATGTGAGAGTGGTTTTTGAAAAGACTTTCATACAATTTTATTATTTTTTATTTTTTTTTAATTTTTAATTTTTTTAATTTAATTTTTATTTATTTTTATTTATTTTTTTAATCATGGGGCTCCAGTTATCCTTAGCCGGATACCACATCATTTAAGCACTGAATACCATAGTTTCAGGTAATACTCAGCATTGAATTTTACAAGCATTCTCATAAGTTGACGTATTTCGACTTTCCACAGTCGATGCTCATTACTGGAGGCCTCTACGTTGCATGATGCATTTTTAAATCTACCAAATAGTTAGTTGGAGGTATCTTTTACGACTGTATAATTGTACAAGAGATGTTAGTTCTACATTTTCAATGACACTAGGACCACTACAAAATGCCATCACAGTAAGCAATTCAGCATTATTAATTTGTTAGCTAAACAATATAATTTATTATTATTATTTTTTTTTTATAAAATATCATAGTTAGCATATTCATAGTCTTTTTGGTCAAGAAGGGTTGATATTTCTCTCATTGCAAACATGTTTTACTCATCAAGTATACATCATCAATACAACTAGGAATAAGAATGTCATGGTTTTGATCATCAATTCTTTTTAGCAAATGTTTGGGTTTGTTTTAGTGGGCAAATTGTTAGTGCAAGTGTCTAGTGTCAAACAATCGATCTTCATAGTCCAAAAATATTTAATTTGTAGTTTATAGCCGATTGTATAATATAAGAACATTTTACTATCTATATTATTATTAGAAGATAATTGTGTCACTCTCAAGTACCCACCATGTGGTTCCACAGAAGATGTCACATGTCTCTTGCACACAATTATACATCAAAATTAGATAAGGTAGCCTTCCAATGATTCTCAATCCCCCAACCTCTTGGCAACTATGGTTGAACTATTACAATCAAATAAAGCTTGAATACTAACTATCCAACAAAATTAAAACCAATTAACCTTGAAGATGTTCAAAATTCAAGGGAAAAAAAAATAGAAAAATGCATTATAGTTATTTTAGCATCAAAAGCCAACAATAACTAGCATCTAATTCGACTATCTTTAACATTAACCATGCTAATAGTTCACTGCTGCATACAAAAACTAATATTGCCACTCCATTAAAAATCTACTTGCTTCATGCCCTTCGTCTCTTATTTTTTGCTCCATAGAGATAAGTTGCTTTATTAACTTTTTGTTGGAAAAAAACTGATGAAAGAGAAAAATGGTAGGGTTAATGGAGTGGTGGTGAGAGTAAATGTATGGTTGTATATGTCCAAAAATAGAATGAAGCAAAATTAAAGAGACGGACTAAAAAGGAAATTAGGACAAAAAAATAAGGAATAGAAGGAGTACATATCAATATCATTAGATGTTCAAAGTATTCCCATGAAATACTTCGTATGTTATAGCTAATAATCGATATTTTAAAACAAGAGTACAAGACCTTGGACACCCGTGTCCATGAAGTTCATTAAAAACAAAAAATTTATACACTCATGCGATACTTGTAATTGGTTTTATTACAACTAAGCAAAGTATTGAGCCGTTACATTATCATCACCGCATACATGCCCACGAGATTTCATAAACTTGTTAAGTACTTCGTACTAATTTAGGATTATTTGACAATGATATATAGTAATTAAACAAAGACTAATTTACATGCTAATTGCTATTTATTGTTCCTCAAAAAAAAAATTGCTATTTATTGTGATAATTAGGGAAAGTGGGTTCAACACCCACTCCTACAACTTGTGAAAGAGATGTTCTCTTGACAAACCGTCCTTTCAATCGAGGCCTCTTTTCAGCGTTCAACTTCCTAACTTCATACCTTATCTTCTTTGAAAACAATCTTGTCCTTCTCTTTTCTCTGTATCTTGATACTCTTGCTTCTCTCCCTTCGTCCCCACCATTCGCGTTTCCTCTCATTCCCATCCATCCCTCTCCTTGAGGGTGTGGAACTCCGGTAGGGAACATACCTCCCTGCCAAAAGTAATCCCGTAGGTATTAAAATATTAGTAATGTAACAACGAAATTTGGATGAACATAATTAGGGTTGTATGTTATTATATCATTTCACCATAAGCTTTACAGGGTATCGTACTTCCTAGACCAAAGGTAAGGCCTTAAGTATAATTATCATAAGCTATTTGGTCACATCAATATCCACATGTACAAATCACTAGAGATATTGAATGGTCCATTCTCATGGTATATTATCTACAAGGTATTCAATGCAATGATGTGGAATTGAGTCACCCTAAAATGTGGCATGAATAAGTTTATAGTGCAAGAAAAAAAACACTACGGAGTACTACATATATACTTCAAACATAAATACACATAGAAAAAAAATTAATTACTCGTACTTTATCACTATAATCTCTTTCCATGGTATATTATACCTTTAATAAACAGGCTGAAAAAATACTTAGTTCTAAATATAATTGCTTAATATATAAAAATAACAATATTTAAAAATAAACTTATATAAGTAGTACATTATATGTACTGTATAAATAACTGGACTAGTTCCTATATTAAGTTCAAACAGAAATCTACAAACTAAAGGCTTGAATGAGTTCAAATCAGATAACTATAAAAAAGAAACATGAAATTGATTAAATTGACAAAATAAAATTGCTAATTCAAGTTTAAATTGACAAAATCAGACAAAATCAAATTGCTGATTCAAGTTTGTTGAATATATTTTGATTAAATTAAATTGCTTATTAAAATGAAATATGTTTACGTTAAGTAGAAGTTTAGGGGTGAAGATTCACCTCATGGGTTAGGAATTTTATTTGATTCTAAGCAATTAGCTAGAATTCTTTAAAGTCTCAAATCTAGTTTCATCTTTGGATTATTCAATGGATAGTCTAGACTGCTAAGTGCTAGTTGAAAATTCATGCATATTATTAATGGGTTGGGTGAAGAAAAATCATATTGAATGAGTCTAAGTAATTTAGCTCAACATTCAACCATTGATTTTGCAATATACTATCAACAAAATTAAGTCGATGGTGAATTTTTTGTTTTTCTAGAAAAAAAATTTCTAGTTTTATACTTCGGATGGATCTATAAATTTATTATTTCGAAATAATTTATTCAGGAAATTAATGTCGAAGCAAGACAATTGTCCCAAAACAATTGTCCCAAAATATGAAGTAGTATTAGCCTTGTAAAAATCAATCTTATTGTATCTTTACATTGTCAAAAATATAATATGGAGATTCAAAAAAGATGAATCTAAATTAAAGCCATGTAAAAAAAAAAAATAATAAAAAAAAAAAAAAAACCAATGCTTATATGATTTTTTAAATGGTTTCATTTTAAAATGAAATGAGGTAATCAAATTCAAATGTAGTGGCACTAGACATACAAACGATAAAATTGATAAGCCTGAAAAATGTAGGTAAAAGGGCAAACAAAAGGGCAAAAAACAGACTTCCAAAAACAGGCAAAAGTGTAAAATATGTAAACTTCCAAAAATAGATCTTAAATAGTTAAACCTAAATGATGCTCAAGAACAAGAACAAGAAGTAATAAAAAAAGAGCAAGGGAGCATTCTTACCATGCAATAGGGCCAACCATGATGGTCAAATTCAAACTCCGGCCGCCGCCCGGTGGTCCACGGTGATAAACAACCTTGGCTAGCCCATGCATTGATAACCTCATCATAATTTAATCTCAATAGTATTTTCCTCCTTTTATTATTAGCTTCCATATCTTTACCTCCCTCTAGCTCCTCCTCCTCCATCTCGGCCGCCTCGTGCTTTGGCACCACCATTTTCTTACCATCCTCTTCCTCATCTTCTTCGACACCACTAACTTGAGACTGATCATGATTACTATTATTTCCATAAGTTTGATTTAAGTCAAAATTAAACATTTCACTTTCAACATCTATTGACCAATCAAAGTAACAATGATCAGTTGTAGCACTAATATCTCCCTCTTCTTCAATTTTAACACCCGGGTATAAAAGTTGTAGCTCATCATCCGCCTCCTCGTTGCCTCTTCCGCCCTCCTCGGCCGCCTCGTGCTCTAGCAAACTCTCAACATCCGCGGCAAACTCCGCTAACTCGTTATCGGAGGCTAAAAAACCCGCCGGTAAGTAGTTTTCCCACTCATTGTTATCTCCTTCGAAACCAATCAACGAGATGTTGAAATCATCTTCGAAACCACCTTCTACAACACTAACTTTGTTGTTGTTACTATTTTTGAACTCCTTAATTTCAAAGGGATCATTTACCTCCAAGTTCGGAACACTAAATACCGCCTCGTTTCGATCTTCTTCGTTCCCTTCAATCGATCCTTGATCATCATCTTCATTGCTAACCTCCGGCACAACACGCATCTCGTAGTTATTATACGAGGGTTTGTTCGCCTTCGCATTGCTGTTACTTCTTGGGGTTCGCGCCTTCTTCGTGAACCCCTGGTGCCACGAAGGGGAAGCGGATGGTTGTGTGTTCATTAGCTTAGACGATTGTATGTTTATCTTAGACTCAAGGCGGACTCGATTATGTCGGCTTGCGAGCTCATTAGCCGAATGGACTGATGAGTCGCAGGCCTGACAAAGGAAAGCATCATCAGCAGCGCAGAACCATCTAGCGCGCCTCTTAAGGCAGCTTTCGCATGCCCTTGCCGTCTTTCCTCCTACAGCATTTGCTGTTTTCTTACTATGGGTAATCATGGTTAATCTTTCGAGTTTGGAGTTATAAAGCGCGGATTCTTATTGTATTACAGAGAGGAATGTACTCAGTCAGTCTGTTGGAACAACAGACTAACAGTAGTACCTCTAGCAGAGTTGGAGCAACCGATAAATGAGTGTGCTATGATTGGTATATATTGAAGGAAGGACAAGTGAAGGAGCAATTATTGATTTTTTTTATTTTTTTTTATTTTTTATTTTACAAAAATCAGTGTCAATTACATCAAATATATCGTTTGGAATGAAAAGTCGTAATCTTTTAACTCTGTGGACAAGGTAAGGTCTAAAACTTTGTTATGGCACATCAATGAAATAGTTTTGGAATTTAGATTATTGGAATTTAGGGTATTTTAAGTATCTTAGTAAAAAACTATAATGATTTATTATGTAGGCGGAATGTAATAAAGTAAGATACAAATTAAATTAGATTATATGCGTAAGTGCATGATGTACATCCTACTCTTGAAAGAACACATATTTCTAAATTAAGGAACACAAAGTAACATAAAATACTTGTCACGGCATCTTTATGTTCTTTATTGAAATTTCATTTTTTTGATCTTGAACTATATGTTCAGTTATTGCAAGTTCAGGTTTTTAAGGGTCAATATATTCATCCTCCCTAATCTTCTATTATTACTCCCTCCGTCCTTTTATTAAGAGTTTATTTGGGTTTTTTTTCTTACAAAAATTAAGGTAGTTGTAAATTACTAAAACTAATGATTTAGAGTATATATATGCATGTGGTATTAGAGAAAAATAGAGAGAAAGAAAAAGTGGTTGAAAATTATTAAAGAGAGGGAGAGAAAGTGTTGGAAATAGATATAAAAAGGTGTGACAACTCATAAAAATTGAGGAATATTATTAAAAAGTTCATACTTTAAAATAGAAATTGACTCTTTATTTTGGTTACCCAAAAATGAAATACATACTTTAATAAAAGGATAGAAGGAGTAGAAAATAAGGTCCACATGCCACCGCACAAATAAAGTAGAAGTGACATCTTCAATTCTAATATAATGGATTGGATGATATTCAAATTATCTAATTTTAAATTAGATTGGATTGGTATTGGAGTTAATGAAAATTCGAATTGGATTGGACTCAAAATTAAATAATCAAATTATATTTTGAAATGATTAGGAAATGAGCAAAATCCAATTAAAAATGAACTCTCACTTTTACTTCATAGAATCATAGTGTATGATAATGCTCATCATTATGGAGTTTAAGATTACAACTTTTTTTAAAGAGAAGGTATTGGGTGCGGCAAGCCGCACCAAACAATTCGTGCGTCAAGTATATATGATATGCAGTATTTGATATAGGATATGTATTATTTGATAGAGGATATGTACAACTTGTTGAAGGATATGTGTTATTTGATAGAAGATACATACAGTTTGTTGTAGGATATATATTGTTTGTTATAGGATATGTAGCACTTGATAGAGGATATGTACAATTTATTTTTGATAGAGGATACGTATAGTTTGTTAGAGGATATGATGTAGTATTTGGTGGAGGATATGTGTTAGTTGATAGAGGATACGTACAGTTTATTTAAGGATATGTAGTATTTGATGGAGGATATGTAGTATTTGATAGAGGATATGTACAATTTGTTGGAGCATATGTGTTACTTAATAGAGGATACGTAAAGTTTGTTGGAGGATACATATTATTTGATAGAGGATATGTACAATACGTTGGCTTATCTGTTGCTTTTGTTTACTGATTTCATCCTTTTATTGGCTGATATGCTTCATTTGTTGGCCGATATGTTCAATCTGTTAGCTGGTATCTATCTTTTGTTGGCTGATATGTTATTTTTGTTGGCTGATATGCTTCATTCACTACAAAAAAATAGACATTTAGCAACAGATCAAATCCGTCGCTAGATTATTACTCCGTTGGCAAAATTGTTGTTGCTAAATGAGACTAGCGACGTTGTATTTGTTTTCCGTTGTTGAACTTAGCAACGGATTTTTATTTCTGTCGCTGGTTTTAGCAACAGATTTTAATTTCCGTCGCTGGTTTTAGCAACGGATTATTTTTATCTGTTGCTGGTATTAGCAACGGGAAAAACAAAAATCCATCTCTAAATTTAATTAGTAACGGGAAAAAAAAATCTGTCGCTCATATCAGCAACGGCAAAAAAAAAAATCTGTCTCTAAATTTAGCAACGGAAAAAATTATTTTGTGTCAAAAAATAGTTGCTATTCAGTTCGACCTCACTCGGGTCAACCCGACTCAACTTCGCATGTAAGGCTATTTAAATCCCCAATCTCAAGAATCGCAATAGGTAGGAGTCAAACCCATGATCTCAAAGTGACATAGTGAAACTCTTACCAACTATACCAAATATTATTTGTTTACTTCTACGCACATAATTGATAATAAGTGAAAGAAATATTAGAGATGGAATTTAAAATCTGTCACTAGTTTAGAAACGGATTTTCAAATCCCTCTCTAGTTCAAATCTGTCTCTAGTTACGGATTTGAAAATCTGTTTCTAATTTAGAGACGGATTTTAGTTTACATAATTCGTCTCTAAAGTAATATTTTACATATTTCGTTTCGAAAATAATTTAGAGATAAAATTAAAAATCCATCGCTCATATCAGCAACGGAAAAAAAAAATCCGTCTCTAAATTCAGCAACGGAAAAAAATTTGTTTCTAATTTAGCAACGAAAAAAAATCTGTTTCTAATTTAGAGACGGATTTTCAATTCCGTTTCTAATTTAGAGATGGATTTTTTTTTCCGTCTCTAATTTAGAAACGGATTTTTAATTCCGTTTCTAAATTAATTTAGAGACCGATTTTTTTTTCATCCGTCTCTAATTTAGAAACGGATTGAATTCCGTCGCTAGAATTCTGTTTCTATATGGACATTTTTTGTAGTGATTTATTAGCTGATATATTCCTTTTGTTGGCTGATATACATAATATCTCATCCTGTTATAGAGGATATCATCCAACTTATTATAGATGATGTAATCTAGACAATTTTATAAAAATAATTAAAAGGTCAACAATGGCAGAACCACCATTGAAGGTCTCGTACTAAGCTCATGGGTATAATATAACATGCTCATTTCTCAAACAAAATACATGCATTTGTTATCAAAACGCTCACAATTCAACATACAATCACATAGGACAATCAATTTCAACAATTATACATCACACAAGAAAGCTCCAAATGGATTTTTTTTGGCATTTTTCGAAATATCCAAAAATTTCAAGCAATTATAACGCCAATTCAAACATAGATCATGGACAAATATAATTAATAAGAGTAATTTCCTGTTCCTCACTTTGAGGAACACGTTTTGTTCCTCATGGGGTATGTGTCAAGAGCAGAGAGGTGCACCCAAAATTGACAGGCAGTCCCCACTAGTGAAAAATATCACATTATTTTCCAAAATGCCATTATGAGGAACAAAAGTGTTCCTCATGATGAGGAACAAAAGTGTTCCTCATGATGAGGAATTGGGGCTCCCTCAATCAATAATCAACGAGTTTCTTGCCGTCGACGATACCACCGCCAATAACAACACAAAAAAAAAAACTCTAATTATAAATTAAGATTTAATGTTGTACATGGATAAACGTAACATTCAAACAATCATGTACAATTTAAAAATCTACGGATAAAGTATTTAGTTACGTCCCAATATCCCATGTATTTAGACACTATCAATTTTAATTTAGCATTAAACGCAACTAACAACTTACAAATTTAAACTTTATCCCAATTACTGTATTACATGATAATTTGAAAAATGGAGGTCCGCCTAATGTCCAAACTAAATTTGTTGGTTTTCAAAAGACAACGATTTACGCTTTTTGGGACCCACTAGTAAGTCTCCTGTTGATCTGATTGGATGACGGATTGAACCTCAATCCAAATGTATGCAATCTAATTGGTTAAGTGGATTAGCTAATGGGGTCACCTTCCAACGATAGGGCATGGAACTCCAGCATCCGACACCTCAAAATTAGGTCTCTTAATGTTGATTTTGTCTTTTTGTTTCAATTATTCTTTGTGGATGTTCATATCCCATTTTTATTTTTGTTCTTATACATTTATCGTTTGATTGAATCATGTCCTTTCCTTTGAGTTGTGGTTGTTTTTTAGATCCACTCCAAACCACAATATGTCCCTTGACTTACCAATTGCCTCAAATTGGATCGATGGAGGATTGTATCCAATACTATAGTTTATTGATTTCAACTAGAGACACATCGAGGTGCTATTTTAAGAAAATCGACTCTAATGTAAGATATAATGCGATTTTATGATACCGTTGTTTTTGGAATACTATAAATAAGAGAGACAAATAAATTTGATTTGCTAATAATCTGATGTAGGATTATTATATTCAATATAATGGATAGTTTATTGATATCAACTAAAGACACATTGAGTTGCTATTTTAAAAAAATCGACTCTAGTGTAAGATACAATGTGATTTTATGATACCGTTGTTTTTGGAATATTATAAATAAGAGAGACAAATGATTTGATTTGCTAATAATCTAAGTGTAGACACCTAAAAATGTCTCCCCGACCGAAACCCGATGATGAGGGAAGCCTTTTCATTGCCATTTGGTTCGGGTTTAGTATTGAAATAAAGGAGTATTTAATTCCATTTTAAAATCCATTTAATTTAACTTTTCTAGCCCACATTTATTTTAATTTAAAGCCCAATCCATTTGTTTTAATCTTTATTCTTATTCTTATTCTTATTTTTATTCTGAAAGGAATTGTGTCCTTCGAACAAGTATATTATTCCGATAGAGGGTTCGGAATTATTAGAAGGCTAATTACTCAGTGAGGTCAAGTGATCGGAATGCCTAGCTGGAGGCCGCTTCCGATCAGTAATATTAATGCATAATTAATATTACAGCTTAATCTTGACTAAACCATTGGGGTCACACCCAATTGAGTAACCGAACCGAAACGAGGAATTAATTCGAAGGATTAAATGAGTCATTAGAGTATTACGAACAAAGACGTCGGATATCGAGCTTAGAGTGTCGAAACCGAGCGTCGTAAGTCGAGTTGAATTTAGAATTCGACGAGACGAGAAAATTAAGTAAACAACAAGTTAAAGCTAAGTTGTACCCTCGCATTGGCCTAGCCATGCGAAGGCTAGGATAACATAGGGCACCAACCGCAATGTGTGGCTGTGCCGCAATCTAAGCATGCATGTGCGTGCTAGGTTTGTTGGCCGAGCATGCTTGTGGGGCTGGTGCGCCTGGTCGC